GATTCCATGGAAAACAAAAGGGAAACTGATGAATAGAAATAGTTCTTCAAATTACCCATGAACTTCCTTTTCTACAACCTCTTTCAGTATGGGCCTTCAGTGAATAGTTCATTCTGCCACTTAATTAATACGAAGGGTCCGGAGTATGCCAGATGACTGTAATGGGTAATGGCGATGTCAGCAATGTGCACTGATTGAGTACCTACTGTATGTCAGGTGGTTTGCCAAGCCAGCACCGTTTATGTAGACCTTGCCCCACATCCCTAGAACAATATTGCTCAGTAGGTATTATCATAAGCCCTGTTCTCTTTATTAGGAAACTAGAGTTTTGAGAAAATGTCAGTATGTGTTCCAAGTTATGCGTTCGGTGCAGCCAGAACTCTAGGTAACAAAAATGTTCAGGAAAGTGTTGCCAAAACAAACAACACCCGCCCCCCAAAAAACCTCGTAGTTCATTGCACACTGATCTGCAAGTACATACTTTATCAAACTAAACCAGGGAAGGAGGGAAGCCAGCACCCATGAGAATACAGCGGGGTTACAGGGTTACTTTACAAGCCAGTGAAAATGCTCTGACGCAGCACAAAAGGTAAGGAGGAGACGAAGTGATGTGAGCTGTGTAGCATTTCAACCTGTAGGAACTGGAATTCAGTTCTCACTCCCTTCCCTTTCTTTTCCACGGTCAGAATCCCGCGGGCTCGGGCAGCTCTCAGCAGTCAGCCTGGTTGTGCAGTCGCCTAGAGACGCCAGAGTTTCCTGGCCAATTAGAATCCCCATCAAGGCCTGGGCTTTGGCACCATTCTACAGCACCCAGGGCGGTGCGTGTGTCCCTGGGTTGCAGGTGATCGCAACGTTGCCTCTGCCACCAAGTTCCCTACCAGTTTTCTTCCAATGTTATCAGAAAACAACTTGACATCCCTTCTTTTATTGTTGCTGTTATTGTTGTTGTTGTTGTTGTTGTTGTGGATATGCTGCTTGTCTGCCTATTAACTATACATGTTCTGCAATGGGGCTTGGGCCAGGGGTGGGGCAAAATTTAGATAGATTGAACAAGGCAAGCGTTTGTATCTTCCTCTCCATTCTCCAGCCTTGGGCGCAGGCTTTGAGCCCTGCCTCAGGGTCAGTCCCACTTGGGGTGGAATTTGGGTCCCCTGTTGGCGGCATCAGCAGGGCAAGAGACTGCTCCTTAATGGAGCAGTCTCCAGTCGTGGGGTAAAATGAGGCATAACCGGAGGCTCCGTCAAACAGGCTCCACCTCCTGTTGATGGGAGGAGCCCATTTGCTAGGGTGTTTCTCCTTCGACCTGTATCTTACGGAAACGCCTCACCTCCCGAGTGTACTTGCCAACCCAAATGCGACTCTCGTGAACTGTTGTTTTCATGGGGGCATTGTTTCAAGAGATGAGTCTTGTAAGATACGAGTATCATTTACCCCCTGCCCAGCCCTGAAGCCCTTAGTTTATTGCTGTGGACACAGGTCTGCAAGATTTGACGACTTGTCCAGGACCCCACAGCTGGCTGATGAGAGAGCTGTGACCCAGGGCCCCCCTCCCACTCCCTCTGTCACCGGGCTCTGGGGCTTTGGTGGATGACTCCAAGTTTTGTCTCACCGTGGCCTTGTGGTTGGGGCTTTACAGGCAAGAGAAATATTGCTAAACATCCAAAGTTTAGTGTTTTATTCATATATATATTCCATATAGGAACAAAAAAAAATCATGAAGCAGAAAGGTGACAAATTGAGTTATTAGTGAAAAGCACTTCATTATGAAACTTCTGAAGACATTTTTAAGAATTATATTTATAAAGGCCTTTGTTTGCTGGTTAAATTGATATTATCTGTTAGAAGGAATCGGTGATACACTTGAGAATGCCGGAACTTGATTTTTAATTCTTTTAACTCACAATTCTTTTTGCAGCGGCAAGATTAAGAGAATCATGTTATTAATTGTTTCATCCATTATATTCAGGTATGTGAGACTCTAGAAAAGGAGATAATTAAATATGTATAATACTCAATATCAATAGTTTTAATGAAAAAGGATCTGGGAGAAAAAAAACATTTCCATCAGTATGTTGCTAAACAGTCCCTGTGCCCCATTTAATATAATGCAATGTAATTCTTGAAATTTTAGTCTAAGCTGAACATTAAGGATTTCAAAGAAATGCCATTTGCCTAAGTCTAATAGTAAAACATTAATATTTTTATCTGTAAAAGTAAAAATAATGAAACATGCATTTTAAGATTCTATAATTGTGTATTTATTTGTTTAGAATCACTCTTTAGTTATGGAAACATTCTACTTAGGCGTCTTCTCCACATGATAGTAAGATTTCACACTAATACAGAGTCACACAATATACTTGTTTCCTTTTAAGTGTATAATATTTTAATCTGTGTTGCAATAAAAAAAGTAACTTGAAGGTTAATTTATCTCCATAGATTATGCAAATAGTATAGTCATGTATGGAGAATTTGTTTAAACTATATGTGACTCATTAAAAAAATCACATTTAGATAAAATTTGAAAGCTAAAAAGACACAGAAGTTTTTAAAAAGTTTTTGCACAGTAAAGAAAACCATCAGCAAAATGAAAAGACAACCCACTGAATGGGAGAACGTATTCATGGATTAACATCTGATAAGAGGTTAACATCCAAAATTTATGAAGAACTTATAAAACTCAACACCAAAAAAACCCCAAACTATTTAATTAAAAATGAGCAAAGGACCTGAATAGTCATTTCTCTAAAGAGGACATACCAATGGCCAATAGACACATGAAATGATGCTTGATATCACTAATCATGAGGGAAATGTAAATGAAAACCACAATGAGATATCACTTCACAAAGGTCAGAATGCCTATCATCAATAAGTCAACAAACAACAAGTGCTGGCGAGGCTGTGGAGAAAGGGGAGCCCTTGTGCACTGCTGGTGGGAATGCAGACTGGTGCAGCCCCTGTGGGAGACAGTGTGGGGTTACCTCAAAAAATTAAAAATGGAACTCCCTGTGATTCAGCAATTTCACTTCTGAGAATTTATCCAAAGAAACCAAGGGAACTCCAGACACTAATTTGAAAGAATATATGCACCCTATGTTCACTGCAGGGTTATTTCCAATCGCCAAGATGTGGAAGCAGCCCAAGTGCCCATCAGTAGATGCATGGATAAAAAAGCTGTGGTCCATTTACACAATGGAATACTACTTGGCTGTAACAAAGAGGGAACTCTTACTTTTTATGACATCGTTGATGGACCTGGAGAACATTATGCTAAGTGAAATAAGCCAGTCAGAGAAAGACAAATACCATATGATTTCACTTACACGTGGAATCTAATGAACAAAGTAAACTAACAAACAAAATAGAAACAGACTCGTAGATACAAAGAACAGACTGACAGCTGCCAGAGGGGAAGGGCGTTGGGGCCTGGGTGAAAAAGGTAAAAGAAAATAAGCAAAGAAAGAAAGGGGAAGGGAAGGGAAGGGAAGGGAAGGGAAGGGAAGGGAAGGGAAGGGAAGGGAAGGGAAGGGAAGGGAAGGGAAGGGAAGGGAAGGGAAGGGAAGGGAAGGGAAGGGAAGGGAAGGGAAGGGAAGGGAAGGGAAGGGAAGGGAAGGGAAGGGAAGGAAGGGAAGGGAAGGGAAGGGAAGGGAAGGGAAGGGAAGGGAAGGGAAGGGAAGGGAAGGGAAGGGAAGGGAAGGGAAGGGAAGGGAAGGGAAGGGAAGGGAAGGGAAGGGAAGGGAAGGGAAGGGAAGGGAAGGGAAGGGAAGGGAAGGGAAGGGAAGGGAAGGGAAGGGAAGGGAAGGGAAGGGAAGGGAAGGGAAGGGACATAGATGACAGTGTGGTGATTGCCAGAGGGAAAGGCGGGGTGGTGGGGTGGTGGGAGGAGGTAGAAGAGGTAATGTGGGGGCAAATGGTGATGGAGGGAGACTTGACTTGGGGCACTGAACACATAATTCAATATACAGATAACGTATTATATAGAACCCTACACCTATCAGGAATAAGAAGCATAAATGGTAATACAAAATAGACAGGGAGAGATGAAGAAGCCAAATATCTTATATGTACAACCCATGGATATGAACTGGGGGTGGGGGGAATGCTGGTGGAAGAGGGGTGCAGGAAAGAGGAGAAAAAATGGGACAACTGTAACAGCATAATAAACTGTAACAGCATCAATAAAATATACTTTAAGCAGAAAAAAAATTGTATACCTGAAAACCTGAAACCTATCTAATTTTATTAACCAATGTCACCTCAATGAACTCAATTAAAACAAACAAAAACAATATAAGAGAATGGCTTAGATATTTTAGTGTTTGACTATGTATGTATTTATGACATTGAATTTCACGTGCCAGTCTTGTTCTCAAAGCATCCATTAATATGTGAAATGTCACGAATGCAGGATCTTATTGGCCCATTGGGTCTTTCAAGGGCCTGTGTTAGCCAGAATGTCACTTGGTTTTTATTACTAACATCTGTAAAGTCATCAAGATTAATGAGGTTTTAACTATTATGAGAAACTGGTAGAAGCCCAGTAGTAAAATTCTCAAATTTTAAGAAGAGCTTACAAGTGGATACAGGTGATTGTAATTCCATTTGCCTGTTCTGTTTTGGAGTCGATCTGACCTCTCTCTGGGGAGAGACCATGGTAACATCAGGTGGTCTGGGGAGAATGCTGTTTTCCTGACACCTGCTTCCAGTGGGTGAGAACGGAGTAACCCCGCAGACTCTAAGGCAATGCAGTTCTTCATACCACTGCACGGTTTTATCCTAAAGAATGGCATTTTTAAAATCAGATGATTGGCCTGGATGTAGTGTAACCATAGAGGTGAACTCCCCTTTGTCCTGATCCTGTTGATTTCTGTGTTTGTTGTAGAATATTTGGAATTCTGCTGGTCTTTGTGGATGTGTCTTTCATCATTATAGACCTACTTGTCACTGATAACACAACGTACATTCCTTTGGAATATCGTTCAATTTCCTTATCTATTGCTTTATTTTTTTTCATGGATATTCTTCTTCGAGTATTTGTAGAAGGGTAAGTCTTTGTTCAATGGTTTGGTTATAGCCCCTACTATACTTAAATTGCCCTATTGTTGCTTTTGTAATATACATATGTATAAAATAATGAGTGTGAAATTTGTCCCTTAGTCTAGTTTTAAAAATCTAGGTCTTTAATGAATTTAAAATGATTCATTAAAGTGGAATTCTTTTGGGGAATGAGTCAAATAATTTGTGTACTTAAATATATCCTTATCTCTTCTTGGGAGGCATAAACATATTTTTTTGTTTTATATTACAGGGCACAATTTTATTTTTCTGACGTAGTTAATTCTATAGATGCTGTGATTATCCTGGTGACTCTACTAATTGATTTCATTTATATTTCTAATGAGTTTGAGGTTTTTGAAGATATCCCCAGGTAAGAAACATATGATTCACCTCTCTTAAAGATTTTCTCTTTTGTCTTCATTTTCTGTGGCTTTTACGCTGGGTCATCTTTTTAACTCTGAATGTCCCGATTCAGTGCCAGACAAGCTGCGTGAAAACGAAATGGTGTATTTCCACGTGCTTGGAAACTGAAGGCCTGGTGGGACCTGGGCGGGGGGTGTACCCACCGAGCACCTTTCGCTGAGTGAAGAAGACGAAACACCCAAGGAAGAAACTGGGGGCTTCATCTCTTGTACTAACTTGAACTCCTCCTCATTTTTAAATTCCCACCACATTAGAATGTGAGCTTCAACCACAAACCCCCTACCTGTGAAATTCCTAGGATTTTCTAAAAGAGACTATTGCTTCGAGCATATGCAAATGCTGAGTGACTCTGAGGGCGATGGTCTGAAATGGAGCAAGTGGAACGTGGAACTGGGGGACTGGATAGCGACGCAGAAGTAGAAGATGCAGAATAGTGTATCCAACATGAGGAAAGCTGAGGCAATGTTGTCCCCATTTAGGACTGATTAGAAAACGAAAGTGTGTAGGAGACACTGAGAGCTTGTTTTCCTTCTTTCTCTTCCTACTCTGGCAAAGCGGAATGGGAGAACAAACATGCCCCGCGCTGTAGATGCTGGGTGGCCCACCAGGCTTATTCATTCGTTAAATAGCTTCTTCTTGCTCCCCTCCGTCTTCCCCGAACTTCAATTCATGTTCCAGTGCGACTTGGCATTATTTGATGGGCCTCGAGAGTCGTCTGAAAATAACTGGACCCAGAAGGGTCCTCTGACCCGGCGATCTCAGCATCCCCTAAGAGCTTGCTGAAAATGGGAGAAAAGCATCCCCGGCCTCATTCTACACACATCAAACCAGTGTGCACACTCACGTGAGGGAAACGCTAGTGCAAACCACCAGTTCTCTGTCGTTGTGTTTCTCATCGGTGGTAGGCTTGACACCAGCTAGCACACCTGGGAAGCATCTCCACCGGCTGCCTGCCTGATGTGTTAGCAGCTGTGACGAACCTCTGTTACTGATGGGAGTAACAAAGGTGGCCAAGCACGCTCAGTTTGTATGGATGGGAAAAAGACAGAAAAATACTCATCTTAAACCACAAAAGTTAAATCCACTAACTCTGAGTGTTTATCATACCACGAGTTCTCTAAACCAGAGCTTCTCCACGTGAACACTATTGGTATTTGAGATCAGATGAGCATTTGCTGTTGTGTGTGTGTGGCGGGGGGCAGTCCTGTGCTTTAGCAGCATTCCTGGCCCCACTAGATGCAAGCGGCCCCCCTTACATGCAGCGTGACAACGAAAAATGTCTCCAGACATGGCCGAACGTCCCCTGTGTGGATGGGCGGGAAGCTTGCGTGGAGGGCTGTCAGGTTACCCCTGGTTACAAACCGCTGCTCCAGACTCAGTTCCCATCGACGAAACCCTGTTTCTGAAGCAAAAATGGCTCTTTCTAATTTATTGTTAGATTGATCACGTTCCTTCGATCACTGCGACTCATCATTCTGATGAGAATTTTTCATCTGGCACACCAGGAAAGACATCTCAAAAAGCTGACCAGAAGGATGGTAAGTGGGCAAAATGCACGCATCAGTCAGAAAAGCGTTGTGTTTTGGGAAATGCTGGCAGGGGTTTTATTATACACGTTTATATCACAGTCTTTGTTTTTATGTCGATTTGTTTTGACAAATTAACAATTGTTTTAAATGCTCAGGTTTCAGGAAACAAGCGACGGTATAAGAAAGATGGATTTGACTTAGACCTCACTTACATCACTGGTTTGTGAAGTTTTACTGTTGATGTACTTACATTAATTTCACATTTTTCTTGTGTGTAAGTAATTATGTATTTATAGGGTTCTTGCCTTGTCTAAGCCATGTTCTTTCAAAGTGTTCTTTATCCGTGAAGAGGTATGCCTCTCTGGTAGTGTGACCTATTTGTAGTTTAACCCTGACAATATTTTTTATTGTCATCTCAAACCAGGTCTATTTGGTTACAGTACAGGGAGTTGAACGGATTTTCAACAGACCCCATTTGTTGGTTTTATTTTTTTTAAGAGTTCATTTATTTGTTTTGAGAGAAAGGGGAAGGGAGGGAGAAAGAGAGGGAGAGAAACATCAATAGGCCAAACCCACTGGCTTGCGGGATGACACCCCACCCACTGAGCCACGCCAGCCAGGAGCCATCGGTTGGGTTTAGAATTTATTGAGGTCTGAGTCTCAAGGATCCCAGAGAAACCTGTTCTTTTCCGAGAACCCCAGAGAAAAATGTCACTGCTTTGTAGACATCAAGTTTCTGAGTCAGGAGTCCTGCAAAGCATCCTGGGAGGTCCCGTCATCACTAGCACTCAGATCTCTCGTTTTTCTTTGGTGTTTAAATAAGAAATAAATTCCCACCACAGGGCGAGCTCCAGACAGCTGTCATCACCAATCTGTTGCATGTGGCTGGAACCAATGAGTTGGGAACTCGTGGGAGTTTAATGGTTGTTGCCTGGATAATTTAATATATTATCTTGATTATCCTGAGGGTTAGTTAGCATTTGTTTCTGTCGTTCTCAATCCTGAAAGTTCTTTTCTGTGAAAAAGAAGTCTGATTATATGTGAACAAAGTTCTCTCATACTATCTGACATCTGTACCGATGTCCGTGGCCGTGACTGTTTTGACTCGCAGGGCGCGTCATTGCCATGTCGTTCCCGTCTTCTGGAAAGCAGTCTTTCTACCGGAACCCCATTCAGGTGAGCATCCTGACCCTGACCGGGCAAACGCTCATGTCTCAGCGCCGCCGACTGTGGAGTCGTGCACTGGGTGTCACCCGGAGATGGAAGCATTCTCCTAAACATGTACTCTCTCAGGTGCCTTCTTTTCCTTGTGATTGTCTTAATAACCTTTGATATATGTGTTGTGCAATGTACTACACATCATACACGTAATGTGCATGTAATGAATACAGTACATAGCACATTTAACACATACAATATGTGTATATTGTTTGTGTATCCTGCAACTTTAATGAATTCTTTTATTACTTTTAATAGCTTTCTGGTGAAGTCTTTGGGGTTTTCTCTATATGGTATTGTGTCATCTGCAAATAATGACAGTTTTATTTCTCCCTTTCCAATTTGGAGACCTTTTATGTCTCTTTTTAAAAATCTGATTGCTGTGTGTAGGACTTTCAGTGCTATATTGAATAGTAGCGGTGAAAGTGGGCACCCTGAAAGATTATATATTTAAAAAAAAAAGAAAGTAGGAATCTTTGTCTTGTTTCTGGCCTTAGAGCAAAATCACTTACCTTTTTATCATTGAGTATGGTGTTGTTATACTGTTATTTCCTTGGAATATTGAGGAAGTTCTAATAAGTCATTCACCCCTTTACCACTTTTAATCAGCATATCTGAAGAAGTGGCAATAAATCATCTGCTTTCATAAAATCCATAAATCATAAATCACCCCCAAAACATATCTACTATTCATATTATTAATTACTGCCATCTTTTGCCAAAGGGCAGGCTTGAGTCTGAGCTGTTAGTTCAACTCCCCGGGCAGATGGAGAATCAGGCCATGATGTTGCTTCAGTGGCTGTGTGCTTGAACAACAATTAAAATAATTTTTTTAAAAAAAGAGGGAATGAAGTTGCAGGGTTCAATTTTGAACAATATTGAATAGTAACGTGCAGAGCACATGGAGAATTTCACAAGATGTACAACTGAATATCCTTCATTCTGGCCAAGGACAGAAATTGTCCACCTGCTAACAGAGTGTGACCCCTGAAACGTAGTTGCTTGCAGAGTTGAAGTTTTCTCTCGGCATTTCATGCCTCTGTTCAGTCCATTTGGGCAAGAGGTCTCTGGAGTCTTCAGGTAAACAATTCAGACTAGAAAACAGAGCCATACATTGTCTTCATGTTGAGTCAAGGATGGACTCATGGGAAAAAATCAAAGCATTAATATCATTTCTTAGACATTTAGAGAAATATGAATGTGATTTTTAAAGCCCATGAAACTTAACCATTTAGGTATATTAATTTTCCCATTAAAACAAGAAATTACTTACCATCCTTATATGTGAGTATACTAAAGAAGGCTGCACATAAATTAACGACCGTGAAATGTTTACTTGTTGAGAAAATGAAGGTTTCGAGACAGTATTCTAATGGCTGCGTAGTAGTTCATTAGTGCTGTCATTAACCTCTAATGCTAGATATTTAGATGCCATTATTATCACTAAAACAGCAAGGAAGGCACAAAACTTTATCTGGATAGATTCCTAGGAGTGAAATTATCCGGTTAAAGAGTACAAATATTTTATAGTTCTTAGTATATATTTCCAAATCCAGTGGATTCTATCAGCGATAAGCCAAAGGTTTTCTTTTCATGCCACATTTGCCAGTGTTGGATTCTTCTCATTGAAAAGGAAAGATCTAATTTCATGGGTGAAAATGGCATTTCATTGTTGTTTTGACTTCTTTGTTGGTGAGGGTGAATATTTCTTTATGTAGGTTATTAGCCAGTGAATTTTCTTTTTTGTGAATTTACTTATGTCTTTGGCCCATTTATCTATAGGACGAGGGAGTAAAATTGAAATTATTGTTTAAATGAGTTGTTAGTTTATACCAGTATAACTAGTTTATAGGTTATATTAAGCTTAGTTCCCATTCACTCCAATTTTGCTGAAAAAATGTGCCCTGTTTTTTGTTTGTTATACTGTGGCATTCTTCAAACAGAAATGTCAAATTTTATGAAGTCACACTTAAACCTGTCAATCTTCCATTGGTTTGACACTTAGTTCTTCCTCAGCCAGAAAGTTGACTAATGTTCACTTGAGTTTCTTAGAGGTATTTGTGGGTTTTTACATTTCATTCCTCAATCCATCTGGATTTTATTTTGGTGTAAGGTATCCCATGGGTTTCTATATAAGACTATTTATCCTCCCCAGCCCAGTACTATGCAGACTCAGAATGCTTTCTTCTTTTACTTCACAGGGATTAACCAATTAATAAATTCATCACTTCGATGACTTAATTTTTATCTATCTCAATATTAAGCCATCCTAATCAATTTTTAAACTTTTTAATAGTCCTTTTTGTTGTTGTACAGAGATGTACACACAGATGTGTGTGTGTGTGTGTGTGAGTTTCTGATGGATAAGTTTGCTGGAGTGTATTAGCGTGGTGATAGTAACTGTATTTTAGAAAATAATCACTATGTTTTATTTTGAAAGTTACAGATATATGTACATACACACTGTGTATTTACAGGTACACACATAGACACACAGACATGCATTCATTTTAGCTAACCATCTAATTTCCTTTTCTGGTAGCCTAAGCCCTGAGTATCTGTCGCAGAGGCCAGGCCGAGGGGCCAGGCACCACTTTGTGGGTTATTTGAAAACATGAGTGGGTCAGATGTGACTTGGAATGTCCATAACCTCCTATTTCCTGAATCTCCCCAAAAAGGTGCTATGTGAGGGACAATGAATAAAAGGTGGTGCCCACTGCAGGTCACTCCTAGACAGGGGGCTGTGTGGTGCCACGCGGATACGTGGAAGACGAGTGTCCATCTCTCTTAGGAAGTCGTGCGGTTCCTGGACACCAAGCATCGCAACCACTACCAAGTCTACAACCTCTGCAGTACGTACAGGACTGGGTGTTTTGCTCCTCTGGTTAGAAAAGAGGTCACTGCATGTGTGAAGCTGCCTCGGTTTTCACATTTCATTCTCGGTGGTGTTGGGAAGTGAGCTCAAAGCTGTCCATCTTGCACCAGCCCCATCTGGTAGGAAAAGATGGCTCACCAGCCCCAGGTGCCATGGGGCTGGCCGGAGGCTGGAGTAGAGGTGGAGCCATTTTAGGAGGAGTTTACTCTAGTGGTGGTAGGTGTAGGGAAATATTTCTGGTTTTTTTCTGCCAGTTTTAAAAAAAATTTAATTTATCTATTTTTAGAGAGGGAAGGGAGGAAGAAAGAGAGAGAGAGAGAGAGAGAGAGAGAAACGTCAATGTGGGGTTGCTGGGGGCGGTGGCCTGAAACCCAGGCATGTGCCCTGACTGGGAATCGAACCTGCGACACTTTGGTTCCCAGCCCGCGCTCAACCCACTGAGCTATGCCAGGCAGGGCTCTGCCAGTTTTAAAGACACGCAATTCAACAAATACATTCTCTAACCTACTAGCAGTGGGGCGTGAGGATCGCAGGGCTCTCTGCGAGTTAAAACAGAACCCTATAGAAAACCTTACATTCCAGCCTACTCTTCTGTCTCTTGCTTTTTCCTCTTCCTGCGTATTAGACATTTTTAGGAGGCAAACCTATCTGTTGGGCACATTTGCTTCTGCCCTGTGGTGTCTAACTACCCTAGCGTAATGTGATGAGTACCCTGCTAGACAATTAAAAGTAAGGCTTATGAGACGAATAAAAAAAGTTGGGCTTACGTTCCTCGAGATGGACAAACCGCTATTATCCTTATGTTTTCGAGAGCCTTAAGTTTCTTTTAGTGTAGCAGGACCCAGTCAGAAAGCTCCTTTTAAAGGGGAATAAGGAATTTCTAATAGAAAAGTACAACTTACTCCTCACTAGGTAATTAACTGTGTTTATTAGGCGTATGTATCATTTATTTTAGGTGAAAACGCTTATGACCCTAAGTACTTCCATTATAGGGTCCACCGATACATGGTTGATGACCACAATGTGCCCTCTCTGAGGTAAACATTACACCGAGGGGGCTGTCAGGAGACGGATAAATACACTGGGCTTGATTTTTTGAAAGTCTTTTAATTCAACTAACAATCTTGCATCTGCGATCAGTGAGATGGTGGAGTTTTCCAAAGAAGTGCAAAAGTGGATGGCTCAAGACGACAAGAACATCATAGTGATTCACTGCATGGGAGGCAAAGGTAAATGCATGTTTCTTTTTATTTCTCCTTTTCTTAGGCAATTAGAAAAGTATATTTGAGTACAAGAACAAGATGCATACTGACTGCTCTTAGTCAGTATTGATGACTGTTAACATTTTCAAATATTAGCTTCCACACTGGGGGAAAACAAGGAAAAAGGGAGGAAGGGAAGAAAATCAGTGTGAATGAATCAAGGAAGGTTGAGCCTGATTTTCCTTTATGGACTATTTGGATTTTTTCATTTTTGATTTGCCAAAATACCGACTCTGTTAACATTTAGAAACCATTAAAGCCCTTTAATTTTATTTCAGATTTTTTCTTAAACTTTGGAAGACCCTTTTAAGGTTCAAGGGGGCGACAGTAATGCTATTTCATAGACAAAAAAATTATCTGAAATGTTTATAGTGCTCTGACACAAAAAGTTGATTATGGTAGGGGTGAATTAGTTTAAAAAGCCATTTGTAAATCCAAGCAATTTAAGTTAAGTTAGGTTTTCTCTCATTCAGCTTTAGGCTTTTACTAATAGTCATCTAAACAAAATTCAAAGTTTCTGACAAAGAATTACATATTTGGTTTTCTACATTGACTTCCGGGCAAACACAGCACTTTGAAGCCGCCTTATATGGTTGAGTAGAACCAAGTTTTAGTCTTACGTGCAAATTAGTTCCAAGCCCACTAGCAGTAGGCAAGTTCTGTTGTCGGTCCTGCAGGTTGAAATAGTCTGTGTATATTGGCAAATGGAGGAAGAAAGAGGGAGGAAGAGAAGGAAGAGAGACATTAAACAAGTGCAATAATATAATAATTATAGAATCTGGGGACCAGGTACATGGGTGTACAGCACACTGTCCTCTACTTTTGTATATGTTTTGTAACACACTGAAAAAGTAAAATGGAAGGAATAATGGGTATTGCCAGTGCTAGATGGTGTTTTGGGTTCTAACCATGTTCTTTTACTGATGTTAGAAAAACAGCATATTTAATTAGTTCTTAATCAGCGAGTAGCTCTTCAGCGTCCCATTCCTGGAGTGGAGCAGGTTGCCTCTGCCAGTGACTGCACCCCCCAGCCGCGATGCTGTGGGGACGGCCCACTCGAGTGCGTGTGAGTTCCTGCTCTTGGTGAGGAGGACTGCCTGGCAGAACCTCGGAGCCGTGAAACAGCTTCGGCTACTCCTGAACTGAAATTTTCTGAACGTGCACTTTCAGAGTTAAAGGAAACCAGTGCAAAATGGCCCCCGAATATTTCGGAGAGTATTTGTAGACCATGCACAACTCTGGACGATGGTTCATGAACTTTTCTCTCTTTTTCTAGGACGGACTGGAACGATGGCCTGTGCCTACCTTATTGCCTGTGGGCTGTTCCAAACCGCGGAGGTAGGAGGGATGCGCCTGCACACTTTGTCGTATGCTGGTTGAGCTTGCTCACTCTGGAATGTCCCTGGTGGGGCGGGATGCTTGTGTGAGTCGTGGTACTTGATGGAATTGTAACTGCGGGGGGCTGTAATGGGGAAGCCTGGCTTTAACCCTTCCTTGTTTGCTTGTGTTAGTTCTAACTGACCAGACACCTCTTACTCTCGTCCAGGACCAGGGTGAGACCAGCACGACACTCACCTTGGGCACAAACTTAAGAGAATGCCAAAATACCCAGAGTGGAAATAAATAACATTCTACTGAAATATTGTAAAAAATCAAAATCAATGCAAAAATATCCATAACATATACAATATCAACATGGTAAATACAGACAGCACCCAGTAGGGGCAAGGTTAAGGTAAGGTAAGGTTGAGTCATGCAAGTTCAAGAAAGCTCAGCAATCAAGACTTTGACGGTCTCACCCAGTCTGGCCCTGCTCTTACTCCAGCCCTTTATGGGACTTCCTCCTTTCTCACAGGACAGATTGTTGCAAGATTGGTTCGGTAAGTCCCCCAAGGACCTTAATCCTTAGAAGTGCTAACTAGGCTCCAACTCAGAACGAAGTCTCTCCTGAATGTTACCTTTGCATACTCAGTATCTGTGGGGTCTGTGCCCCCTGGGAATTTCCGAGAAGGTAGGGTGGGCTGTTTATACTTCTTAAAGCAGGGTTCTCAGTCTTTTTTTTTCTGCCATGATCTTGCTGAGAAGTTTCCACTCAGAGGACATGCTCCCAGCAGCTCGGCCCCTCACGGGGCCTACAGCCGAGTGGGGGAGCAGCATCTGTGCACGATGCCCCACGCTCTGTTTCCGTCGTCTGCTTCCGTTCTAGTTTGAGGCACACAGGTTATGACCGTGAATGTTTGAAGACAGTGTTTTTTTTAAGATTTTACTTATTTATTTTTAGAGAGAGGGATAGGGAGGGAGAAAGAGAGGGAGAGAAACATCAATGTGCAGTTGCCTCTCACACGCTCCCCAGTGGGGACCTGGCCCACAACCCAGGCATGTGCTCTAACTGGGAATGGAACCGGTGACCCTTTGGTTCGCAGACTGGCATTCAATCCACTGGGCCACATCAGCCAGGGCTAGGACAGTGTTTTTTAAAGTATATATCACAGTCTATCCATGAGTTATTCGGTTGTGACTTGTATAGTTTTAACAACATGGAATAGGTTAGGAAACGTCAAAAGGTAAGTATTGTCTTGTGAAAGTCTGTTTCAGTTGGGCGCGTGCATCTCCTTGGTTTCTTAATGTGGCCTGTGGCTTTTAAAATAAAAAAGCTTGAAAGCCACTGATCCCCAGCCTTAGCCGGAGAGCCAGGGCCCGGTGCGCCAGGCCCGCGCTGTCTCTAACCGGCTGGGCGCGTTCCCATGGCAGGTCACTGGTTTCCTTTCGGTCTCCGTCTTCTCCATTTGTGAAATGGGGAGGTCGGAAGACAGATCAGACGATGTAAGTGCTCTCCAGCTCTGCAGTTCACACCCTGATGAATCTTTGAATGGGAGCAGGCCTCGATGTGGCTTTGTTCATTCTGGCACTCGGGGCAGCCTGTGCCCAAAGACCGAGGACCTAAGGAAACACACGCCCTTGGAAACTCTAAGACTGCCTTACGCAGGAGCAGGAAGGGCGGGTGAGCCACGGTCGGACTGTCGCCTTTTCCACAGGAAAGCCTTCATTATTTTGGAGAACGACGAACAGATAGAACCACCAGCAAAAAATTTCAGGGAGTGGAAACTCCTTCGCAGGTAAGTTTTCTTTGTAAACAGGGGTTTCTGGGGAAATGGGCAAAGATTGGCACCTGTTTTGTGGTTGCTGTTCAGGCTTCTCCTTGGTGGTCAGGCAGCCGCACTTGGGTGCCTGGTGACAGGCCTCCCTCCCTCCAAGAGGCCAAGACTCTCCCCAGAGCGCCCTGCTCCCCACTTGACATTAGCTATTGCGGACGGAGTTGGGGCGCCAACTCCCTTCCCAGAGAAGGGAGGAGGTTCCCAGCTGCTGTCAGCAGTCAGAACCGAGTCCTTCATGACGCTCCACTAGGGTGATTCAACCCTTGTAGAGTATCGTGTGTGTGTGTGTGTGTGTGTGTGTGTGCACTCGCGTATGTGTGGTGTGGTGTGTGGAGAGCTGCGCCAGCCGGCCCGGGGACAGAGTTCCTGCTGTGTGGGTGGCACTTCTCAGATGCCACCACCTTCTGACCCTGCGCTGCCTGCTATTCCCTGTGGACTACCTGTCATGCTCCCCTGGGCTCAGAACTTGCACGAGCTTTCTCTTTCACTGGCCCCTTCTCAGGGAAAGTATGGCAGTTTTGTTTTGTTTTTTCAAAAAAGTGTTTAGTATTTTTACTGATTTTAGAGAGAGAGGAAGGGAGAGAGAGAAAAACATTGATTGATTGCCTCCCTTACGCATCCCCACTGGGGATGGAACTCGCAACCTAGGCACGTGCCCTGACCAGGAATCGAACCCCCAAACTTTTGGTGTACAGGACGATATCCAACCAACTGAGCCACACTGCCCAGGGCAGTAAGTTAATTAAGGCAGTTAATTTTCTTAACATTTCCTGGTGGGTGGGGAAGCACGTGAACTTTTTGGTCCAGTTGATTCAGCACCAGAACTCTTCAGCAAGAGTGAGCTGCTGGCCACCGGAGAAGGGCTGGGCTAAGGGGACTCCCAGGGCTTCCCTGCGCATGTAGAACTGGGGGAGTGGGAAGACAGGAAACAGTACCTGGCAGAGGCAAGAGGACAGGTGTCTCTGCCACTGGCCTGCGGAGGTCTTCCTCTTGAGGTTTACCTCTGCCCTCTCTCATGCCTGCAAGGCTACTTGCCTACTCGTCGCCAAAACCGAAAACTCTCCTTTAACTCAGTACAACGAAGCTCCGACCCTCAGCTACATTCATCCCCAGTAGCCAGTGGCTGCGTCTGCTGGGAGGTAGCTGCAGCGTTGGCTCGGCCAGCTCACCACCCTCTCGGCCACGGCAGCTGTCAGCAGCACCTGCCCTTTCCCGTGACTTCCCACGGCGTTTCCCCAACGTAGATGTCCGGTCATGAGACAACACCCACAGAACTGCATGGTTATACAAAGGCACCCCAAACGTTTCCTTACTAAATGGCTCCCCTTCAGTTCCACGTGGACAAAAAAATCAGGTATGCCGATTTTCGACCTTTTCCATCGCCGCGTAAATTGAGGCTTCTGTTTTCTTTTCCAGAGCCGATATGTTGGATATTTTGCAGATGTGAAAAACATCTATAACTTGACTCTCCCTCCAAGAAACTTGCTTAGGATAAGAAAAATTGTTATTTATTCAATTCACGGTACGCGCTGTATGCATTACTGGAGAACTGGGGGGAGTGATGATCTGACTGTTTGGGATGACTTTGCCCATAGTTGTGTGCACGGGCACCCCCCGGCTTTGAGCTGTCTTGTTGCACATCCTTGCATGGGACCCCCTGGCACTGCCGTCAGCCTGCGGTGCTGCAGCCGAACTACCAGCCATTGGGCGCCTTCTCTCTTCCTTCCCCATCACCAGTGTGAGGTACTCTGTCCCCTTCCCTTTTCTCCTGTTCTCACTGATGCCCGGAGTGGGCTTCTCAGAGCAGACCCTTTGAGTCAGAAGACAGAAAGGGCCCGTGGGTGCTGGACACACCCCCTTCCTCCCTCGCACCCACCTGTGCTTCAGGTTTGTCCTGGCAGAGGTACGCCTACTTCACTTTGTCACCTACTTCTGTGTCATTGCCCTGGTCTCTCCCTGCCCCCTCCCTCATCCACCGGTCACTCTCTCATCTTCAGCAACTCTGTCAAAATGCCTTAAATACCCGAAGTGTAAATGAATTGTGTTGCTGCAAATTCTCTGTCACGAACGACTACCAAGCACGCGCTTTGGGCCCAGGCCCACCCCCTTCCGGAGCCCTGGCTGGGGAGCAGAGCCGAGGGGTGAGAGCTCAGATGAAGCACTGGCCGGCCGCAGCCGTGGGGGCACGCACAGGCCGGGCCCTGTCCAGGCCGGGGTCAAGCAATGCTTTCTAGGGGTCAGCCCTTGGGTCTCCTGGCCTGAGTCTGCACAAGCAGGAGGAGCTGGGGAACCCGGGCTCGGTGGGGTGTCCTTAACCCCCAGCCGCTAGCACTTACCACCAGGAATAAAAAAACCCGTATGCACTTCAGAAGGGTCGACCAGATCCCCCGTCACCCCCAGCAGCAGGGAGACACGGCCTTGAGGGAGACAGAAAAAGAGGTGGGGCCAGGAACCGGCCTCCAGCCCCTGGTCTTCCCTGCCTATACGTGTGCCGGACTTCGGACTGGCTGCAGCTGTGTGCTGGTCCCTTGTTAATGGACGAGTTAAATAATTTCCAACATGTGCTTTAAAAAGGGCAAGGTGCAGCTCTGGGCTCTGCTCTGCAACAGTGTCCGCCAGAAGAAAGGAAGAAATGTGATTTTATATTTGTGTGTATGTATGTTTGTAAAACCTGTGGGAGAGTAGATATTTATATTTGATTATAAGTGCATAAAACAAGAAACAGAAAGTGTGGCTGTCGACTTGGGGGTGGAGACTTAAATTGGTGTGGGCTGGGTGAGACATCGAGTTTTCAATTCCTGCCTTTTTTACCATTCATTTTTAAATCATGTGATTACTTCACTTTTTTTTTAAATGCATGGGAATTAAGCTTGTAAATCAATGCTCTTTTCTTATCATGTGATACGTATGTGACTTGGTGTAAGTCCTTGTGTCACTGGTGTCAGTGGGGGGAAGTCCTGCAGCCGCAGTGGTAGTGGGGGGACCGGGGCATGCAGAGTTTAAACGGGCCGTTAATAACATGCCGTTAGTGGAAACAGAAGTAAATGAAAACAAAACCAACAATCGAGAATGATTACTATATGGCTTTATGGGAGTATTTGTTTTAGTTCCGTACTTTTGTTGAGTCCCGTGCATATTTAGTGAACTATGCAGGGTTGAGGGGAAAGCAATAAAAAGTAACTGGAGGCTTGAGAAATGAGCCCTGTGAGGAAAGGCTATACAGGAAGGGGATCGTCTGAATTGAAAAAAAAAGAACAAAAACCCATTTAGCTATAAATGATACTGAACACTACAGGAATGCCTGGGTGTCCCATATTGTCCCAGAAGCTGCTCTCTAGGAACAAGGGAAAGAGCAGTTTAGACTGCTGTTGAGAAATATCACGATTTGAAATCTGAAGACAGCAACGCATTAGCAAGAAAGGCTGAAAGTCACTTTCCCCAATTTCTGTTTTCTAGACAGGTGAAGCTTAGGAGCTGAAGTAGAAGTCTTTTATTTTTGTTTCTTTCCTCCAGACTAATAAAGTCTGCTTTAGGAGACAGAATTGGCTCTAAGCCTTGCCTTTCAGAGACAAAATTCATGCAAACTCAAATGACTCAATATTGATACATTGTTAGCTGGGATTTCTTCTCTTTTTAATTCATACTGCTAATTGGTGAGACATTTTGATCTTTACCCTGACTTTTTCTTTTCATTCAGGTGTTGGAAAAGGCAACGGAGAGGATCTAAAAGTACAAATCATAATGCGCCAAAAGATTGTCTTTTCCTGTTCTGCGTCTAAGAACTGTAGGGTAAGAGAACACACGACCGAAAAATCATTGTTTTAAATTTCCGTGTCAGTTCAGCATGCTGACGGGCCAGACCCCTCGCTCACCACAGAGAGGGGCCATGTTGCTTTGGGGTGCTATCCAGTTGGGTGCCGCTGGGTTTGAATGCAAGGCAGAGCTAGATTTAACTCATGATTCCACATAGGTTTTTCCAAACAAATCAACCAACAAGCGCTGGCGAGGACGTGGACAAAGGGGAACCCTCGTGCACTGTGGGTGGGAATGCAGACTGGGGCAGCCGCTGTGGGAGACAGTGTGGGGTTTTCTCAAGACGTTACAAATGGAACTACCTTCTGACCCAGAAATTGCACCTCTGGGAATTTATCTGAAGAAACCCAAGACCCTAATTTGAAAAAATACAGGTACCCCTATGTACACTGTAGCTTTATTTACAATAGTCAAGATGTGGAAGCAGCCCAAGTGCCCATCAGGAGATGCATGGATGAAAAAGCTGTGGTCCATTTACACAAGGGAATACCACTCAGCCATAAAAAGAAGGAAATCGCACAATTTACAATAGCTAGATGGTGGAAGCAACCAAGATGCCCATCAGTAAATGAATGGATCCAAAAACTATGGTACATTTACACAATGGAATTCTATGCAGCAGAAAGAAAGAAGGAGCTCCTACCCTTTGCAACAGCATGGATGGAGCTGGAAAACATTATGCTAAGCGAAACAAGCCAGGCAGTGAAAGACAAATACCATATGATCTCACCTTTAACAGGAACCTAAATAACAAAACAAAGAAACAAGCAAAATGTAACCAAAGACACTGAAATAGAGGACAGGCTGATGGTGACCGGAGGGGAGAGAAGAGGGAATTTAAGGGGGTCAGTGGGAAGGGTTCACAGGAACAAACTTAAAGGACACATGGTCATAGACTAAGGGGAGGGTGGTAATGGGAGGGAAGTGGGGAGGGTGGGAGGGGGGACTGGATTGGGAGTAAAAAGGAGAAAACTGTATTTGAACAATGATGAAAATTAAAAAAAAAAAAAAAAAGAAGGAAATCTTACCCCTTGTGACAGTATGGACGGTGCTGGAGGTTATTATGCTGAATGAAATAAGCCAGTCAGAGAAACACAAACACCGTACGATTTCACTCATATGTGGAATCTAATGAGCAAAATGAACTAACCAGCGAAACAGAGACAGACCCATAGGAGGAGAGCAGGCTGACAGCTGTCATGAAGTGGGCTGCGTTGGGGGTGGAGAGATGGAGCAGAAGAGAAAGAGAAAAAACTCACGGGCCCGGACAACAGGGTGGTGGTTGCCACGGAGTGCGGGGAGGGGGTGTAGGCGGAGGAGGGTACGGAGGGGGATACATGGTGGTGCGAGGAGACCTGACTCGGAGTGGTGACCACACAGCACAGGGTACAGGCGATGTGTTGTAGACTTGTGTGAACCAGCGTCACCCCAATGAAGTCAATGAAAAGAAAAAAAAACACATCCATCAACCAAAATTCATCAAATGAGCTTTTCTTTCGCTTCTGCTCATGGCACCAGCATTCTCTCACTCAGGCCTTCAAAGTTGGCCTCATCTTTGATTTTTCTTGTTGCCTTGGCCGCCTGCGTCCTGCTGGTGAGGCCTTTGAAATCCCTCTGCACTCCCTTTCCATTCCATCGCCACTACGTAGTCTGGGACCCCATTTGCTCACGCCTGTACTTCTACAGTCGTCTCCTTACCTTTTTTCTCCTTATACAATGCAGAATATAGAGTCCTACAGTACACGTCCTGAAATACTGCCTTCCTGGTAAAAAGCTGTAGGGGGAGCTTTTGCAGGAGACACACTGTGTGCCCGTAGTCAAAGACAGTTAATATCTTTGTCTCAATATTCTTATCTGTAAAATAAAGACTATGTTTCAAGTACTGTGAGGATTTAAATTGGGTAATCCATGCGAAGTGGCTCTGTAAGCTCCAAGTGACTAAGTAAATGTTACCTGTAATAACTGTCAGGCCACTTTGTCACATAGGAAGTGCCCCACCATAGCCTTCCACAACTTCATTCTTATTTCCCTGGCTCTCCGACTCTCCAGATGCAGCCCCATGACACTTGAGCTCATTTCCATCAGTATCTTGACCTGCCGACTCCCGCCCAAGTAGACTGGGACCCGGCTGGCCTTTGGAACACAACTTTGTAATTTCTGCTTCATGTTTTAGTTGGCCTTTCCTCCACCCCTACCCCCACACGCACCTTGTCCGAACTCTATTCTTTCCAGAAATCCTATTGACAGAAACCCTTCCACGTCCCGCTCAAGTTCTGCCTCTCCAGCGATGCCTGCTCACTTGACAACTCCTGTTAACCTCCCCCAAACACACAGCGCGACACGCCATTATATGCCATCCCGCTCTCGTGCCTTATGGCACAGCTCCCCAGCTACAAACTCAGTCTGCCCCTTCCTTTGGCTTTTCACGGGGTCTAGCAGAGACCTCTCTCACTGTGGGTAGCACTGCTACACCAGGATGAGTCAATAACAAAGAAATACTCAGTATGGCTCCAGAGGAGTTCACTCTAGAAGCATGGCCTCTCTTTGGTCTCTTCACTGAGCGATCCACTCTGGACGAGGCCTGTGATGTTTGTTGGACAGAACACGGCCAGTTAGACATTGCTTTTGGACTGCAAATGCCAGCTTGAAAACTTACTGTATCCCCAAACTATGAAAACCAGGGACACACAACACACGCGACAGTAAACCCTAATAGAAAATTGAATGCTTTGCTTTTTAACAGTGCCCCTCCCCTGCCCCACCAACCCTCAAACCTACTGGCCTTTTAAAAATGTAGACAACAGTATCACAACTTTATAGAAATAATGATTAACATTTATGTATGCATGTAGTAACAGGGCTATGAGCCCAAGAGTCCTTGGTGAATAGAGGAAGTCTCCAAGAACCCCGCTGATGGACTTATCTTGGTATCAGCTGTCACAGTGTCTCACTCCCCGAATGCCCTGTGTCCCTTCACAGATCGTCCACGACGTGGAAAGGGACAGAGTGAGCATCCATCTCTGCAACTGCCCCCTTCTGTACGACGACGTGAAGGTGCAGTTCCTGTCCTCGGTGAGTGGCCGGACGCCGCCCCCGCCGCCATTCTCGCTGGGCCTCTGGAAAGATGCTGGTTTGGGATCACCTCTGTCACACACCCGGCAGGGGAGAGGGCGCTGTCGACTCCCAGACGGGGAGGAAGACAAAACCAAGCCAGATCCATAACACTATTTATTTTTATTTTTTTAAGATTTTATTTATTTTTTTTTAGAGAGGGAAGGGAGGGAGAAAGAGAGAGAGAGAGGAACATCAATGTGTGGTTGCTGGGGGCCGTGGCCTGCAACCCAGGCATGTGCCCTGACTGGGAATCGAACCTGCGATGCTTTGGTTCGCAGCCCACGTTCAATCCACTGAGCTACGCCAGCCAGGGCTATAACACTATTTTTTTTAAAAAGAACATAATGTAATTTAACATTTTTGCTCAATATTTCCTAGAGTTTATACAATTTACATGTATTAATTTTCACATAAATAATATAAAACCTAAGATGTAAAAAAAGACAAAGGCATGTTTTACTGCATAGCATGCATTTCATTTTTCTTTTATATCTTTAAAACACATTTCTCTACATAATTTATAAAATACTTTAAAGTGAAAATTTTACTTTTCCCTGAATCGTTATGTAATACATTATAAATAGTATTTTAGTCTGATATTTACTTTATGAAAAATAAGAATTCTGCTGCTATCATTGCTCAGAGTATCAAAACAGTATCATTTATATGTCATAAAATGTATGTCTGGGCATTACTCTGTCTACAACACATTTGTAAGTCTCGATAATTTCTATTCATTTTCCTATTAAACTGTCAGCCTAAACTGTCAATGAGACACTATGTCCATCAAGGTAAAACTTCTCTCCTGTGCCCTCTGTGAGCCCCTGCGCACTCCCTCTTGGGGAGAATCCACTGAACACTGAAATCGTACACGTGCTGAAGCAAGTGGCAGGGAGAGTTCCCGCGTTGAACGATTACCCCTTGAATAATGGACCAGCCTGAATTCTCTCTCAGCCACTGGCCTCCAAGCAGAGCACTGTGGAGGGGCACCGGCCCAGGGGTTGCTGGGAGTATGAGGCCTTTACGATCTTCAAGGGCCATGAGATGAAAGCACATTCAAAAACTTTAGCTGTTCCTATCACCATCAATGACAGTTAATTTTATCATAGCTCCTCCTTGTAGAAATGGATGATACTTGGGGGCATACAGAGGCACAGATCCTTCGTAGATTCTGTTCAGCACTATCTAATCCAGACTAAAATGTATGACTATCCATCATAGGACAAATACATTTCCTTGGCAATTTTGATGGAAACACCAATCACTTAGAGCGCCTCCTGTGTGTCCCCAGGGTCATCCCTGAGACTCCAAGTGCCACACCCTGAGTGGCTACAATTGTTTGAAAAATACATAAATGAATAGAGGAAGGAATTTTAATCCCTTTGGAGTGATTAGCTGTTGGTATCAATTTTACTATGAAGGCTAACACTTTTTTTTTTTTAACCATGTATTTTTAGGCTCTTCCGAAAGACTACGACAACTGCCCGTTTTTCTTCTGGTTCCACACGTCCTTCATACAGAACAACAGGTATGGCTCACGACACACTCCGGGGGAAGCAGCCTTGCCTCCCACGCCTGTGTAAGGTGTCAGGGCACTTACTTTGCCGAGTGCCGTAGGCTCAATTCACAGAAACCAACAAATGCTTGTCACCATTCTTCATTCACGTACTCATCTTAACCTGGTTATTTTAAAAATGTGGCTGTTGTCCAGATAACCCCCAAGGTCCCTGCCACAGGATGGCGTTGTAGGTTAAAACATAGTATGGTCACATCTTGAGTGTGGTAGTAAATCCCTCCCATGGAAGCTCGGGTCTGCTCAGTGCCTTAACCACGACAGCTCTCCTTCGTATGGATTAGTTTTCTGATGATGGATCATCAGCAAATCCTGTGTCAAGGTAAGGCATCCCCCGTGAGGCTTTGGCTTTGAAGCTGATTGATACACTGGGTCAGAAGTGGCAAGACTTGGTATCAGTGAAGACGGCTAAAAAAATCGTTAATAGTCTCCTGTTTAAAAGTGATTTCGAATAACTAAATTCAGAACCACTTTTAAGAAGGTAATTATTAACCGATTGGAAGACTATTTTTCCAAAGAACCTTTTACCATGTCCAGAAACTCATTCCTGACTCCAGAAGTTCTCCACTTTGAGCATTTATTTGTTCTGTGGTGCTGAAAATTTGAGATTATTGGTATGACCAGACCACCCGATACAAAAGGAAAAATAATATTCAGAGAATCACGCAGGTGAGTTTTTGCAGTGGTTGTGATTGCGTGTGGCAGGAATTGATGGTTTTCATTACACAAATTCTGGCCTGTTCTTCAAACCTGAACTGCATCTAATCACACTTCAAGTCCAGTAAGGAAACGGTAAATTGAACATCTAACCTACACACTTAATAATGCACACACATTTAGTGGATTTTGATAGAGTGAACTTTGGATTGGATGAAAAATTTTTACCGGTTTAGTTCCTTGGATGTATACAAACAATAAACTTGAACTCGTAACAGGAGCAAAGTCCCTCAAATTAAGACATCGGGTGGAACTTCATGTGATGTACTCAGAAGTGGTGCTTGCTAAGGAAAGGACACAGTTTTTGCCCTTTAAAAGGCCATGTTCATGTAGGTGAGGCAACAAGTTAGATCGCTTTCCTCCCCACTTTTACATGTTTTTAAAGATTTCTTCGACATTCAAATTTTCATACTACCTGGTGAAGCTGTTTTTATTAGTTACGAGACTGTCAATCAGCTGAAAATGCCAACTTCATCATTGGAAAGGCGCTCAGGACTTTGCCCTGGCTGGTGTGGCTCGGTTGGTTGGAGCATCGTCCCGTAAATTAAAAAGCTGTAGGTTCGATTCCCTGTCAGGACACATACCTGCATTGCAGGTTCGGTACCCAGTCGGGCACGTGCTGTTTCTCTCCAACATCAACGTTCCTCTCCCCTTTTCTCTCTCCCTCCCCCTCTCTTACGATCAATAAGCACATCCTTGGGTGAGGATAAAAAAAGACAGTATTTTATTACGGATGTTAATACCCATCTAGTCTCTCTCGCAGATTTCTGTCACACGTAGAAATTTATTTTATGAAATCCGGATGTCATTAATCCCATAAAGGCAATGTTAAAAGAATCAGTGATGCGTTGTTACTGTGTGTTTGTTGTGGAAGACAAAGACATTTTGCATCTCGCCGGAGGGGGCAGGAACAGAGGCTCACAGGGAAGGGGGCAGAGGCCAGCCACAGCCAGCGAGGCTACCCTGCAGCTTACACAGAGGGGCCCTGCTGAATGGCGTTCCCGTAAGCCCTAACATGGAACTCTGTTCTTCTCTTCCAGGCTTTATCTCTCAAGGAATAAATTGGACAATCCCCATAAACGAAAAACATGGAAAATTTATCGTCCAGAATTTGCCGTTGAAATATATTTTGATGCCATTGATCAAGTTGTAGCTGAAACCTGATTAAGTAGAATTCCCCATCCAGGACAGAATCATATTCTCCCCAACCCCTGCCCCGTATTTATATTTTCAAAACCTGTTTCCTCTCTGGTATACTAATATTTGCATACATGTACATATGTTCTCGAAAAATCTATTAAATATACATTAAATACAGACAAAGGAATATGTCAATGGCGATTTTTTTTTCCTTTTTGAAGGAATAAACGTCACACAAAGTTTTGTAGTGAGGCAAGTTTGGATGCAGTCCACAGGAACATCATTTACCCCTTTTAAAATCGTGAATTAGAACTTTCATATCAAAGTAACCAAGGTATTGAAAAGCTGTGATTCTCCCCTATATGGTGGGTTCACTTCATTGAATTCTGTATTTTTGGATGAGTGTTTCGTCCCTGCTCGGTTTCACATTATAACTTCATATTAGAAAAGCAGCCTCTATTTTCTTCCCCCCTTTGATTTACAAACTGACAAACACCAGATCGGCAGCAAAGACCGTCTGAAGCCCACAGCAATGTCCCCACAGCGGGCCCCTCGCCAGCGCCTGCCTGTCTCTCGCTCCCCACGCGCCACGCAGAGCTGAGCAAGCTCCCTGAGGTCACACACGCAGACGCTGGGGAGGGTGGAGGACCGTGTCACCCTGAAGACTTACTGAAGAACCTTCAGGAGCTCCTGCTTTTGTGCAACATCACAATTAAAGTCGAAGGAAATGTTTGCAGGGGAGGAAGGAGATCTAGATGATTATTCCCCACCCCCGCTAAAACCAGCTTCACCTGAGCCTGGGGACCCTGCGAAGGGAGGTCACCTTTTCATTGTAAGCACTGGTCAGTCCTGTGTCTACAGGGTGTCCTCTTATCTTTGGTACCTGGTACTGTTTTAGTCTGAGTGCCTTCTCTGCTACTGGATCATAACACTGTACTCGTCCTGGAGAACAGTTCTGGTTTGGCTTTATTGAAATTACCCTTCTTGAGTGATTTTTCCTATAATTGGCAAGTTAAGTTCATCGGGAAACAAAGGTAGCAGCGAATAAGAAACAGTGCGTCTGTTAAAATGCTATACTCATTCCTGAAAAACCTTGCGGTCTGCACAAAGAACACATTAAAGAAATGGTTTGAGCAGGGGAGATCAGGTTTGGGGGCTTGGGGGTTTGGGGCAGACTGCTCCAACTAAACAGTACCAGCACGCTACCCACTAACCACCCTGATAGCAGCTCAGAAGGCCTAGTGGTTGCCACAGCAGGCATTTTTAAAAAATATATTGTATTGATTATGTTATTATTGTTGTCCTATTTCCCCCCCTTTATTCCCCTCTGCCCTGCACAACCCCTCCCACCTGCATGCCCCCTCTTTAGTTCATGTCCATGGGTCATGCATATAAGTTCTTTGGTTTCTACATTTCCTGTACTATCCTTAACCTCCCCCGGTCTATTTTCTACCTACCATTTATGCTACTTATTCTCTGTACCTTTTCCCCCTCTCTCCTCCTCCCACTCCCCTACTGATAGCCCTCCATGTGATCTCCATTTCTGTGGTTCTGTTCCTGTTGTAGTTGTTTGCTTAGTTTTGGGTTTGTTTGGTTTTTTTTTTGGTTCAGTCGTTAATAGCTATGAGTTTGTTGTCATTTTACTGTCCATATATTTTGTCTTCTTTTTCTTAGATATGTTCCTTTAACATTTCATCTAAGAAGGGCTTGGTGATGATGAACTCCTTTAACTTGACCTTATCTGGGAAGCTCTTTATCTGCCCTTCCATTCTAAATGATAGCTTTGCTGGATAGAGTCATCTTGGATGTAGGTCCCTGCCTTTCATGACTTGGAATACTTCTTTCCAGCCCCTGCTTGCCTGCAAGATTTTTTTGAGAAATCAGCTGACAGTCTGATGGGAACTTCTTTGTAGGTAACTCCTTTTCTCTTGCTGCTTTTAAGATTCTCTCCTTCTCTTTAATCTTGGGTAATGAAATTATGATGTGCCTTGGTGTATTTCTCCTTGGGCCCAACTTTTTTGGGACTCTCTGAGCTTCCTTGGATTTCCTGAAAGTCTATTTCCTTGGCTAGATTGGGAAAGTTCTCCTTCATTATTTGTTCAAGTAAGTTTTCAATTTCTTGCTGTTCCTCTTCTCCTTCTGGCACCCCTATGATTTGGATGTTGGAACATTTAAAGATGTCCTGGAGGTTCCTAAGCATCTCCCCATTTTTTTTGAATTCTTGGTTCTTCATTCTGTTCTGGTTCAATGTTTCTTTCTTTCCTCTGCGCCAAACTGTTGATCTGAGTCCTGCTTTCCTTCCCATCACTGTTGGTTCTCTGTAGATTTCTCTTTGTTTCATATAATGCAACCTTCATTGCTGCCTGGGTCTTTTTTATGCTGTTGCAGTACCCAGAGAGTTCCTGGAGCATCCCGATAACCAGTGTTTTGAACTGTGTATCTGATAGGTTGGCTATCTCTTTGTCACTTAGTTGTATTTTGTCTGGAGCTTTGATCTGTTCTTTCGTTTGGGCCATTTTTGTTTTGTCTTGACATATGTGTTACGGGGTGAGGGTCATGGCTGCGTTGTGATGCTGTATGTGGGGGAGGGTCTGAGAGGGAACAGTGCCACTTGCTCCTCTCTCTGCTGGCTTTCAGTCACTTCCGCCGATGCCAACAAGCAAACAGGGCCCTTCTGGTGCTGGTTCCTGGGTGTGTGGGTTTTATGTACATTCTAGGACCCTGTGGGTCTTTCCAACCAACTCTCTTGTGAGGCTGGGAGTTTCTCCCACTGCTGGAACCCCCACAGGTGTTTTCAGTCAGAGATTTGAGGCTTTATTTCCCCCTGGAGCCCTGGGTTGTGAGTCTGTTTTGCTCCCCAGTTGTTCCTCCCAGTTTATCTGCATGTGGATTTGGGACCCCCAGTCTGCCAGCCGCCGCCTCACTGCAAGTCCCCTCCACCTGGCTGCCCGTCTTCACCCCTCCTTTGGGTCTGGGTGAGTGTTTCTTCTTTAACTCCTTGGTTGTCGGACTTCCATACAGTTTGATTTTCTGGCAGTTCTGGTTGTCTTCTGTTTTGAAATTGGTGTTGTCCTTCTTTTGGTTGTGCGAGGAGGCACGGTGTGTCTGCCTGCAGCTCCGTCTTGGCTGGAAGTCCACAGCAGGTAGTTTTTAAAAGGAGGGGAGTGTCTTGGGGCAACACCTTAACTGGAGAAGGGTTGAAGGACTGGTGGGGGCCAAGCGGCACGGAGGGCAGCGGAGCCCTGGGCTGCCCGAGCCACCATCACCGTCAACCCTGGCGGGCGGCCCAGGTGCAGGTGTGCTCTTTGTCCTCAAAAAATCCCACAAAGTATCCCTGTCGCGCTTCTGACAAAAGCCATCTTTCCGCTCTGCCTACCCGGGCTCCCTGCAGGCAGGACCCGGGAGGACACGCTCTCGGGTTCCTCCCACCTTACAGCTGTGTCAGTCTCTGTTCATCGGTGTTAGGGGAACACAGGTGTGGCCTAACAGGCTGTGCTGTGCCCTTTAAATTCCTGCCACGCTAATCCGCAGAGTGCGGGTCAGGAGGCGGGCTTCGCTGAACAGAGAGAAAATGCTTTCCTGGCTCTGGGGAGGATTCCAGAGTACAGAGTAAGAACTGCCCTTTTCAGTACTGGAACCCCCAGTTTGTCAGAATCTTGCCTTTTGATCTAGGGAGATGCAGTTGGGGTTTCTCTTCCCCAACCCTCCAAGATCCGTCCCAGTTTCCGGCTGTGAGTTGCCACACTCTTCTGCTCCCCCTCACGGAAAGAAAATCTGCTTGGGGTCTCCCGGGGGTTGCTGTGTTAGGACCCGACGTGGTTCTTCGAGCACAAGAAACTTACACCAGAACTTATCAGGACGATACTGGCTTTCTTAAGCAGACTTTACTAACCCAGGTGGAACAGAATGATCTAAAACTTAATAGCAAGAGGTTTAACCATTTTAAAAGACAGAACGGCATCCGGCCAAGCCCGACACGGCGCTTCCGCGGCCAGGTGGACGGAGACAGGAGTCCTACTGAGCTGAGCTTCTGAACTGCAGTGCGTGCAAAGAATTCCTCATCGGCTCGGACATTAGGCAAATAATTTAATGATACAGAACACCAGAACTTTTCTAAACACCGAATTTCAAGTTACTGTATTTTTGTCTGGAGTACAGCTCTGAAATGGCACAAATTAGACGCAAATGCTGAACCGCGAGCTACACAGAACAACGAAGAACTCCCCCTGACTTCCCTGGCCTCGCCCCCACTCCCCTTCCCCGCCTCAGGCCGGCTCCGTGGGAGACATGCAGTCAACCCTTCAAGGGAGGACACGGGGGTCTGCTGCCAAGGGCGCTGGGACAGGCCGACAGGCCGACAGGCCGACAGAGCCCCCAGCAGGGGGACATGGGCCCGGAGCCGTCTGCTTCCTGCCGGAATCCGGTCTCATTTCCCACTTTGCCTCATTTCTAGCCCGTTCGGACGGAGAACCGCTCAGGTGGCCAGAGAACAGCAGCCCGTTGTCCCCAAGCTCCGACGTCCGTGGGCATCAAAGGGACGAGGGTTTTGTCGTTGTGTTAGTACACGCATATATCGAGGTGTAGCTCAGTCAAAGCTACTGTTCTTGTCTCGTTGCTTAGAAAGTCACACTGCATCTGCCGTCATCACTACAATTCGCTGACGGCCAGCGCCGAATGTTCGAGGCCGCACACTGCGGGAGGCGCGATGAAGGAGTTACGGACCCCAAGAGAGACTTGAGAGGGCGTCAGCCCTGACGGGACCCTTGAGGGCGTGCATGCGCTACGTCTGGTCTGGTTCTGAAGGGAGGACTCCACCCACGCGCACTGCCACCCCGCCGCCACCGGACAGGGGACAAGGGCTACTCTTGGCTTTGGCACTCGACTCCCTGGGAGGGTTTGCAATTGGTGGAGGCAGCAAGTGAGTGATCCGAAGGGGCCCGAAGGAATGCTCTGGAATCCTACCCAGGCCAGGACCCAGAGACAGAAGCTCAGGGCTGGTGTCAGCCACAAGGTCTTCACGAAGCATGAAGGGGCAGCGCGGCCCCCTCCCGCCAGGCCCTTAACCCAGAGCCAGGCCGAGGAGAAGCTCTTTGGGGAGAAGGAAGCCGGCCCAGGTGGAGGCCACGGGGCTTCCGCAGGCCTGATGCTCGGGCCACAGCCAGCAGCATGTCGGAGGGGAGAAGAGGACCCCGCCCAGAAAGTGAACGGCACGGCTTCAACAGCAGCGCGTCTCGGGAAAATCCCGGATGCCTGCTCTGAAACTTGAACCAGAAACATGGAAGCCGCGTCAGCCTGCAGGTATAATATACCTTCGGCTCCTTGACATCTAGCTGGCTATTTGGTTTTCAAGCACCATGGGAACCCTTTTTAAAACTTGAACCACTGGGTAGAGAGCATATGGTAAGTGGATTTTAAGAGGGATCCTACACCTAGAAGGGGTAATCACGGGTAAACATCTTCACGGAGCGCGGCTACCTCTGGGTTTTCTGGTGTGATCTGAGATTAACCGGGAAACAAAACTGTGCCTTGTTCATGACACACAGCATCCAAACTACGTGTGGGTGTCCAGTTGTGCGAAATCCCCGACACAGCGGTACTTATCTTTTCGGGTTAGCTACAGAGGGCCAGAGGCTCACCCTGTAGGTCCTACCGCAGACAAGAGCAGCAACTTTTCCATTTCGGTACAATTACGGGCAGAAATTAAAGGATGCAAAACAGAGGTCCTTCCGTGAAGTGTAACATTGAAGGTAGAGGAACGGAAGACAACAACAGAATGCTCTGAAATCAAAACAGTTGCACGTTGGTCTTGTACTCCAGGCGGCCCTGAGACGAACTGCAGTCCTCCAGTGCCTGGCCTCGGGCCCGGGCCCGCCGGGACGCTTCAGTCTGCCTCGAACTGGCTCATCATCAGCTTCCTGCTGTACTCGTAGGCCAGGAACAGCGCCCCGTTGGCCGGGAACGCTCGGATCATGGTGGGCTTCAGTCCCGAGTACAAGGCCAGTACTCCTAGGAGACAAAAGAGTGGGCCAGCGCTGAGACCCCCTCCCTTGGAGATGCCCCCTCCCTCGGAGATGCCCCTCGAAGCCGCAGAGCGTGTTTGTAGAGCGCCAAGTCCATGCAGTGGCGTCAAAGACCGACACACGGTGAAAGGGCTCATGTCCACGTTCCCCTGGACTGGCGGGCTGGAACGGGCCACAGGAGACTGGACCGTGTCAGGTCTCCGAGCAAAGCCGGTCGCCGCTCAGGAAACACCCCTCCCCCCCCATCCTGGCTTCCCCCTCGAGGCACGGGGCCCACAGGAAGAGCACGCCGAAGCCAGAGACCGTCTCTAGGGTCAGCC